CAACCGTTCATTCATTGGCAGCCAAAATGTAAAATTTTGTATTTTCAGTCGAAACCTTTTGTATTATTTTTGTATTTTCCACAATGGAAAACGTCAGGAAACATGATGTTTAGTTACTCAATACTGAAAAGAAAGCGAAGAAATTAGTAGCAGCACTAACCTTTCACAATTTCAAAATTTTTGACAATGACTTGGTTGGAGTACAATGATTGAAAAACTGTGTTAATTTAAATAAACCCATTTATGCAGGATTTGTAATATTAGAGCTTAAGTAAATACCACATATATAACTTTCATTACAATCATATCAGAAAACAGTACAGAGAGAGAGAGAGAGAGAGAGAGCAAAGTTGCTTTTTACAGATACGAATTCTCTCACGTACGAGATTTCAGCTGAAGATATATATCAAGATATGAGTTGACACATGCAAATGTATGATATATCAGATTATCCGAAGAATCATCCTTTATTCAATATTAGTAATAAAAAGAAAATTATATGTTTCAGGAACGAAATGAATTCAGAACCGATATTGGAATTTATAGGTCTGATACCGAAAATGTGTTGTTTACTGTTGAAGGAAAGTGAAAAGAAAACAGGAAAAGGAATCAAGCGTACTATAACTAAAAGAAAACTTAAACATAAAAATTATAGAGGCTGTCTAGAGGAGTCTACATATACCAGAGAATTGCAACATAATATTTAAAGTAAAAATCATCACCTTTTTACCATTGATATCAATAAAATAGTCTCTCTGCTTTTGATGATAAACGTTACATAGTCAGTGATAGAATGCATTCCTATACACATGGTCATAAAAATAAAAAACATATCTAATGTAAAAAAAAATGGATTATTGCGACTTTTATAACGTTGGGTGGTGGTGGAAACAATCCGAAAAAAATAATTCCCCCTTCCCATATAATTTCATTTTTATGAGATTTTTTTAAAAGGTAAGTTGCTTTTATTTCTTTTTTTCTCATACCTTGTTTTTAGAGTATCAATTAAATGATTTAAAAATTTCCAAAATAAATTATTTTCTTTTTTCGTCCCTAGAGGGCGCCATGACTATTTGCTCCAATTTCCCGGTTGCCAATTTTGAAAACTAAATTTAAATGAAAACTCTTAGCATCAGGAGGTCTACAACCAGCAGCCTAAAACAAATCAACTCTACTCGCGACGTCATTGGCCACGCCCACAGCTCCTCTGGCGCAGAACTCCAATTTTATAGCTATGTACACTGTCTTTAGTTTTCAAAATCTTATCAATGTTTAATCATGGACCTTATAAGAAATAGACTAACCCAAACGGGTTTTCTCCCTCGTCTGAGGCGTTGCCGGCTGTCACCTTGATCACATCCGGAGGAGTAGGGACTACTTGCAGAAATTTAACATTGGTTCCCCATTGCAGCGTCTATAATTGTCAAGAAAAAGCTGATTGTAGCGCCTCATTTCATAAATTAGAATTTCTACATATTTTTATTTTGGAAATTGAGATTGCTTTTTCAAAAATTAGCATATTTATCAAGCATAATTAACGTTCCAAATAATTATAAAGCTATTGCATGCTTCAGGGCTGGATATTTTTTTAGCTTTTCCTATGCTGTAAGGAAATTTTTAAACTACTTCTTTTAGAAAATAATATTTTAAATCTGAACTAATAGAAAATTTCAAACAAGCAATTTTCTCTTGCAGTTTTTATGCTTTTTATTGGTGTAAATAAGTAAAAAATATTTAAAAACGAATTTTCGAAAGTTTTGTTTAAATTTCTAAATTATGCTGCTTTTTAAAATTATAGATGAGTGTTATAGCACAATTTCTATAAAGGAATTTTATTTCAATTATATTTCATAATACATCGTGATAAACACTTTTGACTCCTTGCAAACTTTTATACATTTAATTCTAATATTAAAATTGTATTTAACCGAAATAATTAATTTTACTTGTATTTTATAGTGATTATTTTTTAAATTTATTTTTAGTTCTGCATAAGATTTTTTTATTTACTGTTAATTTAATTTATTAGCCCAAAGCGGCGGGAGCCTAGAAAGGCTGTTAGCGGCATTTCGCTCTGTTTTACTATAAATGTCCATGTCTCCTTGCAAATTGTTGTTACCAAATATTATCATCCTGTGTTATATGTAAAGAAATTAAATAATGAAGAATTTGCATGAATACATGTACGCTTCTCGCACTGTGACAAAAACGACAGTATCTAGAGCCATCAAATTTTGAATAATGTAATCCCTTCACCCGAACATGGGCATCTGGACAGCCAAATTTCGAATTTGTTTTAATCTATTTCATATTTTGTAAAACTTTAACGAATTTTTGATTAACAAACTCAACGAGTTCAGAGCGACAGTTTTATCTCAGGTGCGAAATTCTAAAGATATGCTTTTTCAAATGTATGTGGTTTACGGGCGAAGAACATGATATTCAATAAATATAGGTAACACACAAAACTTTAAAAAATTTTTCCTTTTGGGCGTAATATAAAATCTGAGTGCTTCTAGATTTTATTTTATGTTTTTTCTTTCCCTTCATTACGCTCAGAAAATTTTATGCTCCGAAATTTATGAATTATTAAAATAACTAATCCACTTTAATGTTAATAATTTAATGATCATATAATCAAATAAATATGATCATTTCGTAATGTATAGTTTGGAAAACCACTGCCTGAAAATGTTCATTAAATTAAAAAAAAAAAAAAATTATCAGATCTTTTTTAATTTTACCTTATTTATTTCAAAGCATCACGTACTATCAATCTTATTTAATTTTACTTTATTTTTACGCAAATTAAATTCATGAATTTTGTGCGTAGAGTTTTTACCGTTTTACCAAAGTAAAGATGTTTGTACAAGAATTACGCGTGAAAAAATGCGCGAAATGCAGTAATAAGTGCTTTAATGAGATATATTAAAAATCCTATTTGGAAAAAACTGTGGCTTTCATAACCTCATCACCATATAACGTATCACATTTAATAATTAAAAAGAGTTATGTGATACAAATGCCATAGGTTTCAGTGTTAAAGTAAACCAGATCGTCCCTACTCTCTCTTGCCGACATGTCGGTGACGTGCGCCCCGCCCACTGGGTTAGTCTATCTCTTATAAGGTCCATGTGTTTAATACCAAGTCCTAATTTCCTTCTCCTTTTCGGCTCGATCAATCAAAATCGTATGGCTCTGAAAACCCTCCCCTACGAAAAATGCCTGCCTATAGCGCTTATACTACACTTTCTCTCCTCCTTCTGCTACTTCCCTCAATGGAAATCTACATTTACTGACCTGCCTGACGACGGATGACTAGTTACCGCGAATTGATAAACTGACTCTGTAAGAACTACCTCTACGACGTATGAATTAAATTTGTTTACACAGCAACTTGCAGTTATCATCTTATTGCCAATCTCATCGCTAGATTGTTTCCTGTTCATCGAACTGTGTTCACTACTTCATCATATGCCTAGTATTACCTTTTACTTCCACTTGAACTTATCTTACTGTACTGTATGCTATGCATATCAAATGATATGTACACCACTGACAAGTTACATACAGATTAGGGTGCTCACCCAGGTGCTTGAACTGCATCGCCTAATTAACTGTCTTAAGTTTAACATATCCGGGCGTAACTGCAGGCCTCTTATGTATTCTTAGGCAAAAGTGTTGTATCGCTGTTTGTATAGTAGAATAAATACCACTTCTCTTAAAAATTATATAATTCTTAGATAATTTAAACAAATTTAAAAAGAATTTCTGATTTGCATAATTAGAGAAAATAGGAATTTTGGAATACTAGTGAATTATCTATAATTACTTTTACATTCAAGGGGTCGTGAGCAAAACTCTCAAATTGTTCTTATAGCTAGATATTAATTCTTTGCACACCTGACTGGAATGAGCTTCGACATAGAATGTGTATAGTCAATTAAGACATAATAAAATTACCATCGACGTCTGAAATGACGTCAATACCAATGACGTCTGAAATTTTTGAACATTTAATACAGTTATATTTACAAATTAGATTTACTAGATAAGATTTAGATACAGTTATATTTAAAAATTACTATTTACAGTTACATTTACAAATTAAACCCACACCTACAATAACATAAAAAAATCTGCTTATCTGCATGTCGAGAACAAACCTGGAATCACTTTCTAAATTTGAGCGCGGCTGAAGATCGAACAACACAAATTAAAACACAGAGAACCTCATTTTATTAACGCAGAAAATTGAAATAATTCCCTAATAAAAAAACGCAGAGGATGTCATTTTATATGTCACGCAACAAATCCCGAACTCAATTCTTTAACGCAGTGTTAAAAACTAAAATTAACTTAAGAGTGAGATAGTCTGAAATCCAGGAAAGTATTTTTCTAATTCGGTAACGCGAAATTCTGTAACCATATAGTTACCACTGCCGTTGTTCCCAGGTATATTCTCGCACATACATAAAAGACACAACGCACTTTTTACTTCCATATTTTATCACTACTTTTATACCACATAAAACTGTTAATTTTAATCTTTAAATATTCGAAATAGTTCTAAAATTCAACTTGTTATTAATAAAACTTGTATCTTCATTTTTTTTGTGTGATTTCTTCAAGATTTTTTCATTCTTTTCAAAGAATTAATGGCGTATGTTTTACGTTTTAATTAGCCAATTTATTTCGAAAGTAAATAATTGCTATTTTCCCATCTACCCAATTTCTAATAAAATGTTTCACTGAACAAGAAGTAATTTCCTTTTACATATGACATTTTAATGGAATACAACTTTTAATACATTTATGCTTAATTAAACAGCGGTGATTAGATTTCACATCTTGTAGAAAGCTTCATTCTGGGATTAAAAAAAAAGATGGTTAAAAATCCTGTTACTAAACATTAGGCTCTGTTGAACGAATCTGTCCTTTACTGATCAAAAAGGTCAACTAATGTAACTTGCAGATATATATGTATCAGACACAGTTTGATGCATTTTTATCCGTAATATCATGATAAGAATCCTTCTGGTCAAAAGTCACAATTTCTTTTCTTTTTTAATCTTAAGCGCTGTATAGGCTACTTTATTTGTTGTTTAGATCAAGAAGGTGAAGCGAAGAATCATGTAAGTAGTAATTTTATCATCATGTTATGAAAGAATTTCAAAAGAAATTTCATTAAAACTGAGCAAAAAATATATATCTTTTTGTCTTTAACAGATTTTCTTGCAGTGCTATTGAATAAATAATAACAATTTTAACGATATCTCTCAATTTTTCCGTTCAAACAGTACGTGGAAAAATAAATCACTTGTATTATGGCCTCAAGTAATGTACGTTTTTCATTTTATTTTATTTATACTTTGATAAAACACATGGAGGGCGTATTTATCTTTTTAGTTTATGCCTAGAATAAATAGTTCTAATACGATACCAAACAATCTAAATCTTAATGGAAGTATGAGTTTATGGCAAAAGTATTTAATGGGGGGCATGTATGTTAAAATAGAAAGAAAATAGTTTACTATTTTAAATTCTGCTATTTATTGTACCTAAATATAGCAAATACTTAAATATATTTAAATATTATCCTTTTATAAAACGTAGATTTCTAACATAAGGCCGAATCTGTTACATATATTGTCATTTATGTATTAAATTCATTGAAATTAATGTCAACTTATGATGGTTAATTAACGTAATTGTCTTATCTTTCTCAGTTCAAAAGTAATTATGAAATTATATTTTGACTTTTTTTTTTTTCATGCGAAGAAATATTCAGAAGTGTTAGATCATTAATTTCTAACTGCTTGTTTACTGCTAATAACAACGACTTTAAAAGTAAGCTATTGGTATATGTGTTACTTTTTCTTTGTTTTATTGAACAAAAAATAGTTTCAAGAATTCATTGCATTATCTTTGATTCTTTCTTTCTTTGCTAAATAATACTATATGTAGCATTTTCCCTCTGAATAACAACAACAAAAAATATTACTGCAAAAAATTAAATACTGCTATATTTTACATTTTTTATTCTTTAATTCTGAATATTTCAAGAAATTCGTTAGTTACCTGGAAATAATTGAAAAGTCAATTTACAGAACCAGTATCAAATCTATGCAATACTTTTTATTAGTTACCTACAGAAACTTTTCAGAAATAAAATAATAAAAAAAAAGGAAAATTGAACTGTTACAGTGTCTTCAAATTTATTTAAATAACTGTAATGAAACGTTAAAGTATTGAAAAGAACAGTACATATAAACAGAATATATTTGTGCATTTATTTAAAATATTTTCAGAAATACATATATTCTTCATGACTAAGAGGTTTAATTGCATTTATATAAGTATATTCGCCACCCAGACGGTACAGTGGTTAGGGAAACATACTAAGGTATAGAAGGGCCCAGGTTCGAATTCCAGAGAAGGCATGGATGTTTGTAAATGTATAGTGTCCGTGAGGCATGAAGGCACTCTAAATATAAGGCGAGCCTAAAGTCCTCTTAAGAGGTCGTTGGTAGGGAAAGCGGGATGGGAGACACTTGAACCTGCCCTCTCGGGGTACTCTCCATTAAAAATTGGAGGCGAAACTGAGCGAAGCAGTACTGTCACCTGTATGGTAGTCAAGGTTCTTTCCAACAACTGGAGTAAACTTGCTCTCCTTGCCGCGATTAATTTCATGGGCTTGTTCTGATGTTACTGTCAGACAAGTGAGATAAGTCACAACACAACACATTCATGTATATTCTGTTTATATTAGGATTTGAATTAACTATTTTTTCTTTTTTTTGTTCAGTCTTTAATTATAAAACTGACTTGAAATTTTATTTTTTAACTTCTACGTGCAACTTCATGTAAAGTACAGTGATTTTAGACAATTTATTTGATTTTTTATTAAAATATTCATTTTAAATGTATATTTTTAACCCAGAAAGACCTTAGCCCGAATGAGCTATTAGTCTGGAAACTGGATTTTGCGTTGTTCATTGTAAACGGCTCTATCACTTTTTAAATTCTTGCCACAAAGTATTATCGCCCTGTATTATTTTTTAAAGAAATTAAGTAATGAGAAATCTGCAAGTATATCTGATGTATGTATGAATCTGCATGTATGTAATAATGAGAAATCTGCATATAAATAATGAGTAATCTGCATGCCATTAAATTTTGAATAATGTAATCCTCCATCCTTACATGCTCATCTAGAAGGCGGAAGTTTGAATTACGAATTTTATAATTCATATTTTGAAACACTTTAATGAACTTTTGATTAATATACTCATCGATTTAGAAATGAGCAGTGGTAGGGAATGAAACATTTTCATCTCCAGCGCGCGAGACTGTACGTAAAGATGCTGTGTTTTTAAATATTTTGTGATTTTGCTGTTGAGTTTTATGTGGCATAAGTGAGAAGAATATAATATTTAATTAATAAATTTAACATACAAACGTTAATAATAAAAAGACAAAAAAGTTTTGCAAACCATCTTATTAAGAACACTGAACACTGATATGATGCAATGAGAAAAGGCTTATAAAAATAGGAAAATGTATGCGAACATGATATGATGAATTGAGAAAAGACAGAAAAAAAAAAAAAAAAAAATGTATGCCAAACACATAACACTGCATCGGAAATTCTAAACATATGTTGCTATGCTGCGTTAAAATTTTTTTTGTTATTTTGCTGTTGCATTGTATGTGGCGTAAGTGAGAAGAAAATGATACTCAATAATAAAGCTAAAAAGACAAAAATAAATGGGTTAATAGAAGTGAGTGCAACAGAAGATTGGTAGACTGCGTGCTCAAGAGAACAAAGTGACTGTTAAAATCTGAATCCTTTCAGATTTTCCTTTTTTGTCTTATTTCCCCTTCTTTCTCTCTTTTATTTAATTATGCAGCTTTCTTATGGTTATTTGCTTGGATAAATTAATAGTCTTCATTGACATTTACAGAATGTTTTTTTGCATACAATAAATATTACTATCTTTTTACCACTGCAATATAATTTTTGTAAATATCGTTCTCTATCTCATAAGTTGCTGAAAAATTTCTAGCCGCTGGAATTAGAAGAAAGAGATATGAATAGAAGAAAAAAGAAGCTAATGTTAAATCCAGAAGTTTCTTCTACAGCATACACTTCTTTCTTAACTGATAACTAGCAGCTAATCTCCTTCTGTGTGAGGTTATGCTCTGGAAACAAAAATGTAAGCAAGAAATCATCAGGATAGACTTAGCCAACTTTTATGAATAACTGAAAACATTAAACGAAATCTCTGAAAATCGCAAATAGATGAGACAATAAATATTTCTATTTGCAGTATGAACAAATTCTATGATTTAACTTCAGCATTTTAACTATCTTTTATTTTAACTATTTTTATAAGATTAATTTAAACCACTGATTTATGAAGATCGAGCTTAAACCAGAATAATTCTGCTTAAATAACAGCCCAAAAACTGCAGCAAAGTATCATAAGCTCAGAAGAATTAAAGACAGTAATTTAGAGGTCATCCATATATCTTAAAGCGTTATTCGGGAAATTCCCGATTTTGCTTCTAACGTATGTAGGAAAATAATAATGAGGAGGACTCAAGGAGTTGATAAGTGAAATCCTCTTATTAACTTGATAAAGTGACAAGGGAAAAACAGGAAATCTGATAAAGTTGACTTAATTGTCGTTAATAAAAACTATCATAAATTTTTTTGTTTTTGTAATTTCAGTCGCAGATTTGGTGGGGAATGGTATTAAATTTTATGCCTTCTCAAAATCATAAACACGAGTATCATTATTATGATCATTGAAGTTTTCAGTGTAAGAAACTGAATGACGACATGCAATTCAAATATTCTGTTTTTGAGCCATTAAAAGTACAAAGATAAAAAACAATCATTTCCCGGCTTACTTGGTGCGGATTAATTAGGCCTCGTGTGAGAGAAAAGTTACGTTTATTTATAGCAGAACGAATGGACACATTACTGTAACGAAACATCAGAATAAAGTAAAAGTTTTACTGGGAATGAAAATAAAAAGTTTGAAAGCTTTCATATTACGCGTTTTTTTTTTTCTTTCTTTCATTTACACATACACGTTTCAAAAGCATTTGATCTAATTTCCCTTTGGGCTAAAAATATTTAAAAACAGGATATCTTTAGAATTTCCGATAGACAGTCTCGCGCGCTGGAGATAAAAATGTTTTATTAAGTAGAGTCTTTCCGTTGCTCCCTTTGAAATCGTTGAGTTTGCTAATCAAAAATTAGCAAAAGTTTTACAATATATGAAATAGACCAACAAAACAAATTCCAAATTCGGGCTTCCAGGTGCCCATATTCGGGTGGAGCATTACGGTATTCGGAATTTGATGACTCTAGGAACGTTGTTTTCGAGAATGCGAGAAACATACATACATTTCATGCAGATTCTTCATTATTTAATTTCTTTAAATATAATACAGGGCTCTAATATTTGGTGGCAACGATTTGAAAAGTGAAACCGACATTTATAGTGAAACGACGCAAAATGCTGTTTCGAGACTAATAGCCATTCTGGGCTAATAATGCCCCTTCGGACTAAAAAGAGAGAGAAAGAAAATGAGTGGGATAAAGTAGTTACAGAAGCTGATGTCCGTTATTTAAAAACTGTTTTTATCGTCAACATTAAGTAATTTAATTATATGTAATCTGGAATGTGTAAACAGGGTTAAATCATCCATTAACAATACACTGTTTAAATGGTAAAATAAGCTGAGCGATTTATCTTCTGTTTACCATCACTGTTTAGTTTAGTTTAGTTTAGTGACGGAGGACGTGGGCACCACCTCTTTACCATTATGGTTAATTCATCACTGTCGTGATTTAAGCAGAATGGATGCAAAAAGGTGGATTGTTAATTCTGCTGAGAAAATAAGTGTCAAGTGCACATGGCATTGAATGTGGCGTATCATAGCTGCGAGGAATCTATAAAAAGAAAATATGCCATAAAATAATTTAAGATACTTAAAAATAATTTAAAACAGTTATACAACGGAAGTGTAATCCATACTAAAGCTAAACAGTTATATATATATATATATATATATATATATTTATAACAGTTTTAAACTTAAATAACTTTAACAGTTTTATATATACTTTATGAATATCTTTTATTTTCTAACCCTGATTATTGAAAAGAATTTTGTATTATTCGAAAGAAAAATTATTCGAAAGTTGTTAAAAAGTTACGTTAAAATATTGGATTCGATATGATGTTGTTAAAAAGTTACGTTAAAATATTGGAAGAGTTTTGGGCGTATATTTCAACTTATATTATACTTAGTTTGGCTCATATTTCAAATAAGAGGCCATTTATTTCGAGGGGAATCAGACACAAGTCACTCTTTTTTAGGATTAAGCTTCTTTGTTACTGAACAAGAATTTATAACCTTCAAAATTGATATAATTTTATTTTTAGTTTACTTCCTTTTCATAAAAACTATCTCTTGAGAAAAAGGCTGCTTTTGCGATGAGGTTTTTAAGAAAAATTGGCTCGTATTCATGTTAAAGAGGCTAAGAATCGCATTTACACTAGAATAATTGATAAAAACAGTTTTTTAAAGATTAGTTAGCTGCTGTTGAGGTTATATCAGAATTTAACTTGTTTTTGCTGCTTTCCCTTGCTGTCATATGATTTGTTTATTGATAGCTATAGGAAGCGAAAATTTTAATTCTGTTTTGTTAATTAAAATTAATGAGTTCAGGTGTCTGACTACAGCAAATGAACTTTTAATTTCCTGGCAGCTCCTAACTTCAGCTTTTCGAAATGATCAGCAAAGAGTTATTCTCTTTTATAACTCTAGTTATGTTTATTCCATAATTTAAAACAAATTTGCTTTACTTTTATTTAGCTGTTCAGTTATTTATTATTAGGAGATAACTTAAAATAAAAGGAGCGTAGCCCAAAGAAAACTGTCTTTTAGTTGAATTAGTTTAGTAAAAGTTGCAACTGGAAGGTGTAAGGATTATGCTAATTTTATTAACAGTTAAATTTTGAGTTGAACTTCCTTTCCTATCGTTTCTTAACTTCAATTTACCACTTCCGGCCAGAACGTAGTTTTAGAATCACGTCTGGATACTAATGAGGAAGAGCTGTATTTAACCGTGAAGTTCTACTGTCTGAGAGAGAGAGATACCAGAGATTCTGGTTAGCACGCGTCCGCCTTTTAAGGCTACTCTCTCTTAAGCTATTGTTACACTCGGTCGTACTTTAGGCTTTCGCAAGTCAATTAGCGTTAAGGGGCCAACTCCGTTAGAATCTTGATAGCTTCGGCTATATCTCTTTAGTTAAGATTAATTTAGTTGAATTCTTAGTCTCTTAACTTCAAGCTCGAGTGTCGGCTTTATTATACAACTTCAAGAAGGAGTTCTGTTAACTTTAGTTGGAATAATAAAGGGTTATTTTACCCTTCTATCTTGTTGTTTCCTGTCACTCGAACTCAAGCGATTATTCGCTTATCAGTTATTAAGATTTCTCTCATTCATCGGTTAACTTAGAATTACACAATGGGAATCCTACAAAAGTTAAAATGGCTTTTTTATTGTTTAGACTGGTTAAACAGCTAAGAAATTGATCGAAAAGTCACGAGTTTATTCATATAGTCAAGTTATGTAACACAATAAATTAAGTAGTCTAAATCAGGGTTCCTTAAAATTTTTTAGTCGCGACCCCTTTTTATCACTGAGATTTTTTCGTGACCCCTAGAACCCCATAATATTTACAAAAATTTTGTAGGACCCCATAAGTATTGCGCAAAGCCGGCACACGCGTGAGTGAAACTGTCAATTTTTTCATTTGTACTGTAATATACTATAGTAGTTTTAGGTCATTAACTTTAATTTCTAATTTTAAGACATAGAACAACGTGAAAATTTGAAATAAGTAACAGACGAAATGGCAGCGTCATGTGCAAAGCAAAGAAAATGAACGTTTAGGCGTCGAAATGCGTTTATGCGTAAAAAGAATGCATCATCGAAACGTTTTCGTTTTTTTTTTTTTTTTTTTTTTTCTTTGTCTGTATTGTCTTATCTTTATCTATTTTCAGATACATTGTGTAAAAATATTTGGTAATTGTAAAATTATTATAATAAGAAATATCAAAATTGCTAAAATTTTTGGTGAATCCCTGCTGCAGGTCCCGAGACCCCCTTGGGGGTCGCGACGCACAGTTTAAGAAACCCTGGTCTAAATGAAAGAACGCAGTATGATTTTTATCATTTTGAGCGATTTTATTTATACTCGTAATATTATTTTCATACCTCTCACTAATTTTGCTCTGATTCAAATCTGTCCAGGGAAATCAGTTGGTTATTGCTTGTATTCGCAATCGTAGTTACATCCAGTGCTGATGACGAAGCATCCACATGTTCCAGGAATCAGAAAACTTGTGCGCTGTTGGACATAGCTGCAGATTTGATTTCAAAAGCGAAAGAAAGTTACATCCAAGGTAAAATTTTGTCTTTTCTAATTCAAAGCACCAAATTTATATGAATAATAAGCACAGATGCATTCGCATACTTACATACATTATTTATAATTTCATTATGAACCCATGGCCTTGGACCCAATAAGATCCAAGGCCAAAAGGAAACGTTCCAAGCTAATTTCTATTTAGAAAGTTTATCTATTTTATACAAATGTAGCACCTGCAACAGTAGCTCGGCAACAGTATCTGTTGCCAAGAAAACGTCACATATAATGAACCTGCTTTTAATAAAAAAAAATCCTATTTAGGAGGTTGTGTAACATTTTACTTTTGTAAAGTAAAACAATAGAAACCCATAGACAATTCTAGAATAATCTATTCCCTAATCCTCCCATATGTCACTCTAATGTCATTGTATGAATAGTTATTATACAAAATTGGTTTGAAGGAATGTTATCTGTGAATGAGGGAAGTGATGATGAGAAATAAACTGAGGGATCGGACCACTGTCCTGTTTACAGAATACCTATAATGTACAAAGCAAATATCTGAAAAAGATAATTTTTTCATGGCTATTTTAATTTTTCTAAATAGTACTGTAACTCCATTAGCAAAAAGGCATACATCTGCTTAGAGAAAATATCAAAATAAAAAATAAATAATTTTAAAGGTCATTTTTAAAGCCTTTTTTAGCGAAATTAATTACGACAAGCCATTTTTTTAGCCTGCATATGAAACGTCGAACTTATGAATGATGGGATGAAATGGAGAATTTTTGGTAGATTAAACTCAGGCCAATTATAAGCGCAGTTGGCTACAGAGCTCAACGTGACGCACAGTGTCGTCTTTAGTTTGTGGAAACAATTTCAGAACACTATATCCCTATGGAGAAGACCTGGACAAGCTCGACCAAACTCTACAACGACGAATGAGAATCGTTAGTTAGGACTGCTAGAGCTTCACAACTCTCATGGGATCTGCATGCTCTCACTGGAACCCGAGTTCAACGGTCTGCAGTTGCTTGAAGGTTTCATGAGCTACGGCTGTATACCATAAAACCCGCTATGCTATCCTTATCCCACTCACTGCAGCACACAAGAGATTGCACTTCGTATGTTGCAGACAATATGTGCCTTAGGCCAGACCTTCAGTGGAGCATGTCCGTTTTACAGATGAGCCGAGATTCATCCCGGACACTGATCCTTGGCGTACTTGTATCCGAAAAGAGCCTAGAACACGTTACTCTTCCTTCTTCATCAGGGAAAAGAATGATTACAGTGGTGGAGGTGTAATGGTTTGGGCAGGCATTATGCAGGACAACGGTATTTCCCTGGATGTGTTTGATTCCTAACTGCTGTGAGGTATGGAAAGGAAATCTGGAAGCCCTATATTCGACTTTTCAGAAGCGCAGTAGATCCTCGGTTCCTGTTAATGGACGACAGCGCTCGTCCGCACAGGGCTCAGCTGGAAAATGATAACCTGAAAAGTGAGAATATTCGGTGCTTCGATTGGTCAGCTAGATATCCTGACCTTAACCCTATATAGCATGTCTGAGACGCTCTTAAAATGAGCAATTTCATCTCACCATATGCAAGAACCATCCCGGAGTTGAAGACTGCTTTGCTGCTGAAGAAGTGAGTGCGACTGCCATAGAGATTCCTCAAGAGCCTCCTGTATAGTATGCCGTCACGCTGTGGAACCTGTCTGGCTGTGAGAGGGAACAACCTCATATTAGAATCACTTTCAGTTCGATATCAGAACGGGTAGTTTGGACATGTCGGCACTATGAGCTTTAATCATCATCATGCGTACATAAAATGGCTTTTGAATGGCATATCTCTTTCTCTGCCCATTTATTCCAATTTCATTAAAATCCGACAAGTAAATTTTTAGAAATTCGACATAATGTGCAAATTCTCTTAATTTTGTGCACGAGTGAGACTTTTCTATAAGAACAGAAGAAAATAAAATATGAAAATGCCATCTGAAATGTTTACATGATCGTAATACAGCAGTTCAGATTCGAACTAATATTATGACACTCTGAAATGGCAGCTTTAAATTATGATTCCTTCTCTAAATATAATTTGAAGAACATTGTGTACTAATACGAAAGCTTAAAAATATTACATAATTTTTGAATTTAACCTGTCTGCATATAAAAGAATTTATTATAATGGATTTTTGTATTTCCAGAAGATAATAATGGCCATTCCTGTAAGCTAACTGAAAAGCCGATTGATTGCTATGACCTTCGAATGAAAGGTCACAACATTAGTGGACTGTATATAATATGGCCCCGATGCCGCACCTCAACTTGCAAATCTCTGGAAGTATACTGCGATATGGAAACAGATGGAGGAGGATGGATAGTATGCTTATTTTTGTATTTTTCAGTTGTAATTCAATTTATATACAGAATAGCCTTCTTAAATATCGACTGAAATTGATCATCCTTAGATTTTTAATACACTTTCCACCAGAAAGACAACTCTTTTAGGTGAGAGATACATAATATTGTAATTCTCAAATAAAAGGATCTATTGGGTTATTTAAATTAAATCAGTTAAAACGTAGTTTTATTTAAAATTAAATTTAAAAATATTAAAGCTTTTAAACATGTTTTCGTATTTTTAAATGCAGAACTTTTATGTAAACGAAAGTCATGAAGATTTACAGATTCTTTTATCTATACAGTAGATATGTCCTCCGACGTGTGCTATTCAGACTTTCCTTTTAATCCGACCTGGAGGACGGGGAAAAAAATAAAAATATAAAGTCACAAGTTGTTGAGTATACATCAGCAGCGTAGTAAGTAAGCAGCGTTCGAGCTTCATTTTTTATGTAGATTCTATTAGCGTGAGTCACTACACTGCAGTCAATATTAACAATATTGTATTTTAGAAGCACTTGTTTAATTTTTACAACAAATAGAAATACTTAGAATAGACTTAGTATTAAATAATAAAGTCTGTTATACTACGTACCTAGTCAATAAGATTTAAATCCATTAAAACACATTTGTTTTACTAAATATCATCAATTAAAGAGCTTTACAATCTATAATCATAATTAATAACTTAATGAATTTTTCTTATGTTTAGAATCAAATTAATACATTTGAATAAGATGGTTTTACATATTTTAAACAAGATTAAGAATTAGATCGTGACTTTGATATTTTTCAAGATTTGTTTAATACGAGCAAATGATTTACTATAAATAATCTCCTAATTACGAAATTCAACCATAGAATACTCTATATGAATACTTTTTCTGATATATTTTGCTATTGACTATATTATAGCAATCTAGCACAGTATTAGTCTCAATGTTAATTTACTGTATTTGTCTCAAGCATTTAAGTTTAATAATTGTTTCCATAAAAAACTCTATACAAATACACCTTTTATCAGAGAAACATTTCTTTCCATCTGGAACAGCTTTCTGCGAAAGTAGGAAATGAGCACAAATATAGTCCCTGATTTCAAAAAGTCATAAAATAAAGTTACTTGAATAAGTTATTAAATGAGAGGCAGTGACATCGGAAAGAACATTCATTCTGCAGCAACAAAGATGATACATATTACAATTTGCGAAAGTAAGAGTGTTACTAACGAGCAGCATGTGTTCAAGCGAAACTTTGACATTGATTCACCTACATATAAATCCATTTAAAAGCGCATATAACACTTAGTGAGACAGTTTGCAATTGTGATCAAAGAAAAGGCCATTCTGGCCTACCTTCCACCCCGGAAGAATTGGGGATCGGACATTTTCTGTGCAGTTTCGGAAGCCTATAAACGCTGTTTTGAATTCTATAATACTGGATAGATAGATACATTTTACAACGTTAGGCTGGAGCTGGATTACCGCATCGTTGTTTCTCGAGTAACATGTGGAAGGCCGAAACCTTAGTGACTCAAATCAATATCCTAAAACCTTAGGAAATGTCTTAGCGACTAGAAGCGACTTTCTTAGTGACTACTGAAAGGGCAGGGAGTCCTTTCAGCATTTAAGCTATACTATGTAAAGAAATTCTTTATTCTCATTATTCTTTATTCTCTTTTTCTTATTTTTATTAGTTCACGTTTAAGTTTCTAACCAGTTATTTTATGTTAATTTTCTTTCATATCGCTCTCATTTCCATTTTCCTGCCAGAATGTAAATTTCTAGCTCGCATGATTTTAAAATCAGGTGGAAAGAAGAGACTATTTATTATTATTAGGAAGTATAAGTATACTTATTAAGGAAAGTTTTACGGGGTAGAATTAGAGCGTGTTCTGCCTGCTTGAAGGCCATCTTGCTAATTTAATTAACAGTATTCTGCGGCGTTGTGTTATTCTCGCGACATAGATTAAGCTTATTTTGCCGAACATAGGTCAGAGACAGCTTAAGCTTTATTCTAAGTGTGCAGCCGTTAGTTTAACTTACTTATCATAGTTTTAAATCATCGATTACCTTTTATTCAAGCCATAACTGTTGGCTTATGTAAGCACGAGTTGGGGGTCGTCTGTTAAACTTTTATTTGATTCAAATAAAAGGGTCCTTTACACCCTTTCACTGTTTCTTTGGTACATACAAGACTAGCAATAATTAACCGCTCGTTTTTACAAGAATTCGTCTGATTTATGTTACCCAAGAAGACCAAACTTTATAGTTCAATTATATTGAATATATTTTAATGAAACGTAGCTGAAATCAATGATTTTTACTTAGATTCAAAACTAACACAAATTAATTTCTGATAGCAAACTTCTACAGATTATTTATTTATTTTTTGTTGTTGTTATAAGGCATTTCTTTTTTGTTAATTTTTGTTGCACACAAAATTTAGATTTTCATTTAAACTGCATATATTTAATTTTAGGAGTTATCTTGTTTTTTTTTTTTTTTTTTTTTTTTTTTTTTTTTTTTTTTTTACTTTTTATAGGTTATACAAAGGAGAGGAAGTACCTGGAGCTCCCCAGATTCGTTTTACGGAGATTGGGAAGAATATAAAAGAGGATTTGGAAACATCAGCTATGATTTTTGGCTAGGTAAAGATTTTCACATTTCTATTCCAGTTATCTATTTTTATATGGAACACATTCAATGCATAAGAAAAAGATTGTAAGATCTAGCTTAAATGAGTCTTTTATGTACATCTATGTGAACAACGTGTTATCGACTTTGACCCCTCTTCAAAATAAAATTCAGTGGAAGTATAAAAGCTAAAATAAAATATGTTTATTGTTTATTTAAGACAATAAACTTTTTATGGGTTTCAAGTAAGTGCCGCTTCCAATTGTTCACTTTTACTCCAACTCTAATTAATTCTTTACATCATTGTAGATGGTGTAAGGGATCATGGTAAAGCATCGAGGTCTATCTGAGGGATAGTGAGTATCTTAAGGAAGGGATGCCTTCGTGGAGGACTTTCTAAGGGAAACTGGCCTGTATATACAGATTAAATATGGAGAAAAACACGAAAACGCCAATGAAAGCCAGTCCGTTTGCGGGATTCGAACCTCGGAGCGAACTACTAGTGTTCAGCGACTTTGCCGCTCGGCCGCTGGTGAGCCACATGAATGTAGAAAGCTTAAATATGGAAAAAGGACATTTTTGGAAGTTTCGTGTACGAATGATAGTGGATGAAAAAATCGTCATACATATACACACAGGCAAACCCACAGACAGATACATATAATTATAAAAATAGTCAAAGATTTTATTGGGGACCGTAATTCGTGGTTTATTCACTAAAAACCTTTTTGTACTCAAAACGTTACCTCTCTTACCTGTGTATATAGGTTGACGGAAGGTTAAAAGAAAAGTATATCCAGTATTTCTAATGTCCATAGAAGTAAAAAAATATCAATTGTGAAAATAAAGAAAATCATTAACGTTTTATATCCAAAATAATTCCTTTCCGAAGAAAAAATGGAGATTTTATTGGTGTTCAGGAAGAAGTGAGTTATATTGGATTCACACTATCAAATACACCTTCATACATTTTGGAAATAAAAAATGATGCACTTATTATATTTTTCAGAAGTATGACTCAGACAGCGAAAGGAATCCATTCCTAGATGCTGTTCTTTATGAGATATGCTATTTTCCATAGATTATTATGAGAATTCGTTTCCAGACCGAATTCAAAATTGCAAAATATTGTCAAAATTTCAAAGAATTTTAAAAATCAACACTTTTGTTTGAAATGTTAATAATTTACTAATTTATCAATTACAATTTTTTTTCAAACATTATATGTAAACATTATATGAATATGTAAGAAAAATTTTTAAAATACGAGGGCTATCCAGAAAGTAGATTACGTTTTGGAATAAAAAAATAAACAAAGTATAGGAAACAAATTTTATTATATACAGATGAAAGCCACACTCAAATACTACTTTTCTACATAGTCACCATACAAATTAAGGCATTTATCGTAGCGATGTACGAGCTTGGAAATTCCTTCGTCGAAAAATTCGGCCGCCTGCGCCTTCAACCACTTCGTTACCTCTTCTTGCAGCTGTGCGTCGTCATCAAAACGCTGCATAGCCAGCCACTTCTTCATTGCTGGGAATAGGTGGAAGTCGCTCGGTGCCAGGTCGGGACTGTACGGCGGATGAGGAAACAACTCCCACTTAAAAGATTCAAGAACTTTACGAGTGACATTTGCCGTGTGGGGCCGGGCGTTGTCGTGAATCAACAAGATCTTAGAGCTCAACATTCCTCTGCGCTTGTTTTGAATTGCTCTTCTGAGTTTTTGGAGAGTTTGGCAATACCTTTGAGAGTTTATTGTAGTGCCTCTTTCCAGGAAGTCCACCAAAATTACACCTTTTCTGTCCCAAAAAACAGTCGCATCATCATCTTCCTTGCCGACATTGTTTGCATGCATTTCTTGGGTTTTTGGGGAGAACTTGTGTGCCCCCACTGCATTGATTGCAATTTCGTTTCACAGTTCACATGTTTCACCCATGTTTCGTCACCAGTAACGATGCGATCGAGTAAAGAGTCACCATCCTTATGGTAAGCGTCCAAAAAGTTCAACGCTGCAGCCATTCGCTGATTTTTATGGTCCTCTGTCAAGATTTTTGGAATCCATCTTGCACAAAACTTGTGGTAACCAAGCTTTTCGCTGATGATTTCGTGCAACAAACTTCGCGAAATTTGTGGAAAACTCAAAGAAAGTTCCGTTATTGTGAAATTTCGATTTTCACGGACTTTAGCATCGACTTTTTCGAGAAGTTCGGCGGTCACTATGCTGGGTCTCCCACTTCGATCTTCGTCGTGAACATTGGTTCGGCCATTTTGAAATCTTATGACCCACTGACGCACTCCACCTTCAGTGATAATGTTGTCCCCATACACTTCACGAAGCTGTCGATAGATTTCTATCGGTTTACAGTTTTTTGCAGTCAGAAAGCTTATTACTGAGCGCACCTCGCAGCTCGCGGGATTTTCAATTAACGCAGACATTTCAAACCGTCACAGTATCTGAACGGAGCACAGCACTAACCTCTCACTAGCACGGCTAGATGCAGACTGAGCTGCGCAACGCTCTGACCCCAAGATGGCCGCGCTAGCCCCGCCCCTAGCGGACACAGACGGAAACGTAATCTACTTCCTGGATGGCCCTCGTATGTAAAAGATAAATTATAGTTTGCATTAGCAGTGTAAATTAATTTCGCTTCTCTATTCTAAAAATAGCAATCTCTATTTGCACTGCGTCATTTCGAGATTAACGCTTGTCATATGACTCTTACATGATGGAAATGGGGCTAAAACACAAACAGCCAAAAATAGTTTTACAGCAGTACTAATTATGCAATCAAAATGAATTCAGAACCAAAACTAACTCCGTCTGAATTAAGATTTCACCCTCAACATAATACACTTGTTGGCTACTTTTCGGCCTACCTGGACTGCTGTCTGCTGCTTCCTTCTTGCTGCAAAGTTATCAAAAATGTAAACGTCTTGAAATAGGCCTAAATAATGTGCCAAGTTGTTTGTGAGCGCAATATGTTTATTGTAAATAAATTAAAGTTTTAATGGGCCTCGGCTGCCAGTCTCCTATTCATTATGGATCAACACTTCTACACGCCATCAAAATTCCTGCTGTTTATTACTTCTAAATTTGTTTCTATTACATGTCTGTCTTCGAGTGTCATCTTTCTAACTATGCAGTAAAGCCTCTTCAAGTTATAATGTAGAGACCCAATGTCAATCCGTTGAGCTTTCTTTCACCAAGTCATCTTATTATATATAACTATACAGTCTCGAAGCTTTTTAGTTCTGTTTAATCTGAGTCACCTCAATCTTCCGCTAGAGACAGAAGACTCAACTTTCTTTTACATTCTCGTATGCTTTATCATTGGCCAATGAATAGTGATAATTCCATATGATTTGGGCTCGAGGCCAAGAGAACGAGCTGATTATACAGTTGGGTTTCATGATTTTCCCCGTATATATCTTTATTCTCGGATCTCCAGTGTTTCTCGGAAAATACGAAGCATTAATAAGGCATTCCTCAGGCAACTAGCTCCCTTGGATTTGCCACATTCAAATAACTTAAGCATCCTTGCATATCTGTTAGTTATCTTAACCAAGGTTTAAGAAATTATCTAAAATTTTCCATATTTTCTTAAAAACTCTCTTGAATTAAACCTCGGCATTGTTACTGAAATAATCAGCTACTTTGTTCAACTCAGCTTAATGAAGAGTGTAATTGCTTGGCTATGAACTTGATCTTTTCTCACTTCAAATTAAATAAATTTTCGCTTTATGTAACCTCGATCAATCACATTTTCGCTTCTTTTTAAGACTCTTGACGATAACTCTCTTAACTGAGTGCACGATACTTCAATACTTGGGTGTTATTCTGAGTTTCTACTGCTTTAGCAATACTTTCCAGAGATTCAAAGAGTTCATTACGCAGCGTGAGAATGAAAGGTGAATCCCAGAGAGAGATCTTAACTGTAGAAAAAGAAGAAAAGAGACACTTTCTCTATTGATAATTGCACTGGGCATAAAACCTTTATATACTCTTCACCCAAAAAAAAAAAAAAAAAAAAAAAAAAAAAAAAAAAAAAAAAAACCTTTTTTGGCTTCCGTTTGTTCTTTATCAAGTAGGGTTTGCAATTCAACAGATCGAATTTGGTTGCCTTAGAGCTGTTGGTCTTAGAAAGCGTTTTAGAAATCTTTTGGAACTGTAGGTGGTAGCCTTAGAAAATATTCACTGTACTAAGAAATATGCTTAACTGCCAGTTCTCCTGCTTTTATGTGCTTGTTTACCCACAGACCAAATGCTCTAGATTTAAACGCAGAAGCAACAACAAATAAAACAAATTTAGTTTCTTGTTTGATGTGCGATGATCAGACCATAAGGCAGGAGTGTCGTTATGTGGCACATTTTCCAATCCTTTTTAGAGCTGAACGATCCGCTCTGGAACTGATTCAAAAAACACAATCCACTTTACTGAGAATGTACTCCGATTCCAGAAAACGAAGTTGTGTCTGTTTTGTAGTTCAAAGAGAAAATTTGATTGCAAGGAACAGAAATCTGCCGTTCGTTTACGAACTGATTCACTTTACTGGGCGAACTCACGCCTGATTGACAAAAAAGAAAGGATTTCCTTTCCATTTCCATTTTAGGGAAGAAAAGAATGTTTATCCTTCCATCTTAAAAAGAAGTTTAATTTTTATCATTTCGCATAATTTTTGAAACATTTGTATTCTAAAATTTTATCATTAGTTCTGTGTAGAAAGGAGGCTTTATATTACTCAAAACTACCGTTGAAAGAAATCAGTTCAGGGATTTAAGCGTTTTATTGAGTCAGTTCATCTGATCCTATTTCTCGTTTGTATCTTTTCGCTTTTCACTTCAACCTCGCTAACCGATACTGATCTTGCCGCTCTTTCGATTCGTTTTGCTCTTTGCTACATTCTGGCTAACTGTTCTTTATTCATCCATCGCTCTGAATCTTTTTCATCAAGGCTATTTTTATCGAGCAGTGAGTCATAAATAAAAACCAATTCTTTTCAGTGAGGTAACAGTTGTGATCTGATCAAGTAAAAGAGCGATTTTGCCCATTTCTAATACGGATACGTGTTCATTTAGGAGGAGTAGATGATTAATAAAAACGAATTATTTTAATAAAGTGCTGTAAAGAAACAAGAATAGTATGCCTTCAAAATTCAAATGGTGCACCGAACGAAATATGGTCACTAAATAGGAAATTAAAAATGCTGCAAGAAAAAATAAAACTAACGAAACGGAGCTGAATACTAAATAAGAAATAAATCCTGAGAAGTACTAAATGAAAACTAAAGCCTGAAAAAAAAAGGCCTCGTGTAATAAATAAAATTAAAATGTAATCAAGTGTCATACTGCATTTAAATTCACTCTTCCCTTGCGTAAAGTGTAAACAGAAGAATTGTTTCTTTGAAGAAAAGGAAATTAAGCATAATATATAAGAAAAGGAAGTTATAGAATCACTCAAAATCTTTAAATTAAGTTATAGATTTAAGATACATTTCTGGAACAGTATTTTCCGACTTTCCAAATGAAGTGCGTCTTATTCGACAATGCATCGCCATCAATCTATTATTCAAGGAGGATAAAGCTGAAAAATCTACAGAAAAATCGTTTCATATTTAAATGTCATATTATAAATTGAATTGTAAGAAACTCACTTTGAGGTTCACCCCCCCCCCGCCTCTACAAGTAACCCATATACTGGTGAGGTTCTTAACCATGGGTGAGCACCAAGCGGGAATTTCAAGTTTCAAGGGGAAGCGGGAGATTGTTGTCAGCCTTTTATTTATCTGTTAAGTATTTATTTAGCTTTAGTTCATAAAATTAATAAAAAAAAACTTTTATTCAGTTTTGGTATTTATCAACATTTTCTATACATTTCCTTTGTTATTTTACAAAAAATTAAAAATAATTTATTACTATTTAAATATTAAATAATAATCTATAAATTTAAATAAATGTATATGTATTGTTCGACTTTTGGAAAAGATGGTGAGTATGATCGTCTAACAATGATGAAAGGGATGCATGGGGGATAAAAAGTTGAGAACCTGCTTTAGCCTTCTGTCTTTGTGTTTTTATGACGCACACACAAACTGTTTCTTTTATTTGCTCATAATTTGTTACAAAATGACAAATAAATAACACGGCAGTTCACCTCAGACTCTTTTTGTTAGCAAAACGCATTCTATAATAATACGTTTTACGAGTATTTTACAATAAAACTTAAGCGCATCAACTTAAACATTTCTCCATTCAACTCATCGTAATAATAATATTTTTATTAAGATTGGATCTTTCTAACAGTACGGAATATATAGTATTTTAAACAAAATTTCTATACAAGCTATTTCTAAATTTTTTAGAATCTGATATTATCTATGAAGACAGATTGGAAATTTTATTTGTAATAAATTTGTTTTTGAAAAAATGTTTAATTTTATTTGATCTGTATTTATAATGAAGATTTAAAAATTTTGTTTTCCTATTACAGGTAACGAGAACATATTTTCATTAAGCAATCAAGGACTATATTCGATACGATTTGATCTCACAGATGAACAAGGAGAAAGTCGTTATGCTGTTTATGACATCTTTGCAATTGACGACGAGAACAAAGATTACAGGATACATATCAAAGGATATAGTGGAGATGCAGGTAACCGAACAATTGGTTTACTTCTGGTACTGAAACTTAGCATAATATCTGCTTATTTCAGGTTAAGATAAAAATAAAAATACCAGTAATTAATAAGGAATGATTAATTAATGCAGCAAAACAATTTAAGGTGTGCACCACTAGTTGCCGAGCGGTTAAGACCATTGGTTACTGGTATTTCAACCTGCTTTGCCTTCAGACTCTTGCAAACGGGCTGGCTGCATGGTCAATCCTCATGTATAGGTTAATACGAACCAGTTTTTCTCAGAAAGTCGCTCCATGAAGGTACGCCTCCTGTTACGCAAATATGACTAAGTGCACTTTCATAAAGAATCTTCTGAGATAAGCTGATTCATAGTGGCCTTTACATAAAGTAATGACTTATCAGCAGTCTATTTCAAGGAATTGAACAAGGGAAGCAATTACCAATGCTTTACTTATTCTGCATTTGAGAACTGAAGCTGTATTTAATTAAATACGAGAATCGCGTAAGGTTTTTCTTTCTCTTTACCCAGTGCCTTCGTAATGTAACTGGAAATCACGTCCACCTGGCAATCGATAAGTTCGGAGTTCGAGTCCCAGCGAAGGCACTGAACATTTTTCATGTCTCCTGCTTCGAAATTAGGTTATTTAAATTAAATTTTACATTTGACTTACTGTTACATTAATTTATCACCCCACAAATAATTGGCTGAGTTGTAAGCACCAAGTGGGTTCTGTTCCGATTCAGTTTTAAATAAATGAAGAGTCTTCCACACTCTTCTCAAGTTTCAGTTGTTACTTTAGACTTAGCCATAATTCGCTGTCAGCCTGTCTAAAGTTTGATTACATTGTAAGATTCTAACATGTGTTATGTACTGTTAAGTTACAGCTGAAGTTGAAGAATCTTAAGCACTGATCAGCGAATAATCGCTTGAGTTCGTGAGATAGAGACAACACGCACGAAGGATGAAATTACCCTTGATTATTCCAATAAGGTTTAACAGAACTCCGTCTTGGAGTTTTACAATAAAGCCGCCACTCGGGCTTGAACTTCGGAAACTAAGAACTAAACTAATCTTAACTAAAAAGATATAGCCGAAGCTGTCAAGATTCTAACAGAGTTGGCCCCTTAATTCTAAATAACGGCGAAGCTATCAAGGGCTTAAAGTACCTACGAGCGTAATAATGGCTTAAGAAGGCGAACGCGCGCTAGTCAGAATCACTGGTTCTCTCTCGCGAAATGAGTAGAACTTCACAGTTAAATACTTCTCCTCATTTGCATTCAACCGCGATTCTAAAACTAAGTTCTGACCCGAATTTGTAAGTTGAAATTCAGGAAGACAGGAAAGGAACTTTAACTCAAAATTTAACTGATAGATAAATTAACATAATCCTTACAACATTATATGATCCTAAAGCAAATTACTAAATTTTATATCTCTATATGTGTGATATGGATACGAGCCAATTTATATTAAAAAATCTTCCACAAAAAGAATATTTCTTTGAGGCAGATAGCCAAGTGCAGTTTGCCATATTCACATAACCTAATTCAATCCTTTTCCTTAGATGTAAACTGACTTCCTTAGACTTAAACTTCCTTAGACATAAAACTATTTTTTTAGTCTCTTTTATTTCTTAACATTTTGCAATAAGAGATAAATTGTCTGATAGAATGAATATCAATTAAAGTAGCTCAACACAATTTCTTTTTATACTTGCTTGTATAGAACAGACAAATTTCAAAGTAAAGTAAATATTTTGTAGTGAAAAGAAATTAATGAGAGACTAGGAACAGTATTTGGTATAAACAGTAATGAATAATATTTCATTGTCGCATTCACCTCTTATTGGATTTTCTTCGTAGATAAAGACTACAATAATTTTAGTTCGACCCATCTGATTTTAAAACGATTACATTTTTAAGCTCTCACCACTCATTCAGTGTCAAGCCAAAAATGGGAATTCATCCCTCGTCCAGTTTCACAGTGCTTCAGTAATACGTTATAGAGACTTATACATCCACAAAAGAAAATGAATGCTATTTTTTACACATGAAAGGTCACATCACAGTGTGGAGCGATGCCCGTTATTACGCCTATGGTTTTAGTGGTCTGTCTATTATACTATACCGCTCAGCTGGTATAGTAGTTAATGACTTTGACTGTCGTATCGATGAACGCGGGTTCGAGTTCTGGAGAATTCATGGATGTTTTTAAGCGTACGGTGTCTGTGAGGCAAAGGGACACTAAAAAGTGTGCGGCAAGTAGAAAGTACTCTCGAGAAGTTAGTAGTAGTTAGTAGCAGAGGGGAGGTAGACCGTCGGACTGCCTTCCAAGAATTTCTTACTCAAAACTGTTGCAAAATTCCAATGCAGAGGGAATATACCTGTACAACCAAAGGTAAAATTCTAATGTCCCGCCCACTTTCACTTGAACATATTTTTCAAATTAAAATATCTTCATGCATGTAGGTAAAATGTCTTATATAAAGGCATATTACAACTTAGTAATGTAGCTTATAATTCTAATTCAGTACTTCCGATTTTCATCAACTCCGTACATCCAGTTTTAACTTTTAACACGTCGATCTTTTTTATTATTTATTTATTTATTTTTTAAGATAGTTTTGATCTGGAGGCAAAGGTCGTCGTTCTCACAAATAGCGATAAATTTTACAAATAGGTTTTAGTGGAAGGTGGCTACCATCACAGGACTCCTTGTATTTAGGTTATTTTAAAAAAGAGAGAGAGAGAGAGAGAAAGAGACAAAATCGCCTTCTGTTAACTTTTGTTTAATATTAAAATGCTCAAAACCCATTTTGTTTCTATTGATTTATTTTTAAGTAACTAAGTTTAACATTTAAAATTAAAACAATTTTTAAATTTTTATTTTAATTCTGAATTATAGTTTATGAATTTGCATTCCGCGATAGCATCTGCAACATTTTAGGTACGCTACGCTCACACTTAAGAGCTTTCATAAGCAATAAGTTCGTACAATTAGTTACCGATTCAGGTTTTTTATTTGACAGAAGAAGCACACACAGATTAACTTTTTAGCAGTTTATATGCACTATTAAAGAGTTAGAAAAGGGGTATTATTCCTTTTCTCAAGTCATAATTTTATTAAAATTATCTCCCACCTTCTTAATTCATGGTTTAATGGTCAGCACGCTTGGCGTGTATTCGAGAGGTTCGAGTCCCGGCGAGGACATTGCTCATTTTTCATGACTCCTGTTTTGAAATAACCTAATGACTCTATAAAGTTACAGTTCAATGGCTTTCATATTTCTCAGGATTTCTAATATAGGACATAAGGAATCAAACAATCCACTCGCTAGGTGCAGAAGAAATGAAAATATCTCGGACTATGGTAAACATTTTCCCTTTTACAGATACTATAAAATCGTTGAGTCTGGAACATCGGAATTACAAGAAAATTTTTAATTCTAACATTCATTTGTGACCAATATACCTTCCAAAAAAGATTTCAAATAAGAACTAAAGTAAATGACTCCTGATATATTGAAGAAATTATCTGCATAACTTGGAACCAGTAATTATCTGTAAAATAATATTTTTGAATAGTGTAATTAAATAAAATTAAGATTTTAAAAACAAAACAGAACAAACCAAGAAACCTTAGTGTGGCGCAGATTTTATATCTTTCTTCTACAGGCGAAAAAAAATTTTTTTTTTTCCTTACGAAGAAGGAACAAATTTGACATAAATAAAAAATTTTAGTTCACAGACATGTATTTAAATATTCACTTGCATCTTGACTATTTCATGACGTAAAAAGTTATTTTTCCTTGTGTGTGTATTATATGTATATCTATATGAGAGGAGGCATTGCTTACCTATTTCCTAAACAGAACTGCTCCCGTTTTTCCAAAATAGTATCGCTCCTTCCACTTCATTAAAAAATACTGTGCTCGAATTTTTTTTTAATTTCTTGTTTTTTTTTTTTTTCCATAAATTGTGATTTGTCTTTTATGATGCTTGCCTCAGTTTTTTAGCCCAAAGGGACAATTTGCCCCAAATTAGGCGCCAGAAGGGCTATTAATTTCGTTTTGGCATTTTGCTCTAATTCACTATAAACAGTGAATCCCTTTTTAAATTGTTGTCACCAAATATTAGAGCCTTCTATTATATTTAAAGAAATTAAATATTCAAGAATCTGCATAAATGTATGTATGTTTCTCGCATTGCGATAAAACAACGGTACCTAGAGGCCTCAAATTTTGAATAACGTACGTCTCTGCCCGAATATGGACATCTTTGAATTTGGAATTTGTTTCATTATCTGTTTCATATTCTGTAAAGCATTTACGAGTTTTTGATTAAGAAACTCAGTGATTTTAAAGCACGCAATGGCAACACTCTACGGGAGAAAGAAACATATTTATCTCCAGCGCGCGAGACTGTGTCTCGGAAATTCTAAAGATATTCTCTTTTAAATATTTTGTGATACTGCTTTTGCATTAAATTTTATGGTTTAAGGGCGAAGAACATGATATTTAATAAATAAAGCTAACACACAAAACTTTAAAAAAAACGCCTCTTGAGCGTAATATAAAATCTAAAACTTTCAAATTTTTTTTAATGCAGTTCATTTAAACTTATTATTATTCTGCTTGCTTTTTATGATTCTCTTTAGCTTACATGGCGTTAGCCAAGAAGGACTATTAGTCTCAAAACGGACTTTTCGCTTGAATCACTTTTCAGATTGTTGATATCAAATATTATCGCCCTGTATGACATTTAAAGAAATTAAATTCTAAAGAATCTGCATGAAGGTATGCATGTTTTTCGCATTGTGAAAAACCAGCGGTACCTCGAGTCATCAAATTTGGAATAACGTAGCCCTTCACCCAAATATGTGCATCTGGAAACCCGAATATGGAATTGGTCTCCTTTAAAAGGGGAAGTACATAAGGTATTTTCTCCCTTCTTTTTGTATTCCTTCGTGGTGTAACGGTGGCACACTCCGCGTCTATTCGAAAGGTTCAGGTTCGATTCCAGGCGAGGGCATTGCACATTTTTCACATTGTCCTGCTTCCAGAAACCCTAATGACTCTACTAAATAACAAATAGTCAAATTTAAGTAATTAATGTAATAAAATACATATATGTTAATTAACACATGATATGAAAATTACATAATAACTGAGATGTGTTAATTTGGCCCATATCGAACCTGGCATTTGGCATAGAGTGCTAAAATATGAAATACGTAATTGAAATAAATCGTTGAAATATTTACTAATAACATTGGCTCCATCCCAAAGTAACGATTCTGCTATTCTCCTATTTGTTTTTAAATACATTTTATTTGTTATTTTTTATGTTTTACATTATGATCAAAATGAATGATGTATTAGTATCTGATAAATATATAAGTATTATTTAGATAGAGTAGAATTAACGAATCGACATTTTTTTTTTTTTTTTTTTTTTTTTTTTTTTTTAGTCCAAAGGGATTTGAATCCCGAAGGACTATTAGTTTCGTTTTGGCATTTTGCGTCGGACGGATAAATGTTGGTTCACTTTTCAAACTGTTGCCATAAAATGTTAGAGTCCTGCATTATATTTGAAGAAATTAAATAATGAAAATCTGCGTAAATGTATGTATATTTCTCACATTGTCATAAAATAACGGTACATAGAGTCATCGAATTTTGAATAACGTAATCCTCCAACGAATATGAGCATGTGGAAGACCAAATTTGAAATTTGAAATTTGTTTTATAAAACTTTGACGAATTTTTGATTAACAAACTCAAGGATTTCAAAGCGAGCAATGGCAACGTTGTGCAGAAAAAACATTTTTATCTCCAGCGCGTGAGTCTCTGTATCGGAAATTCTAAAGATATGCTCGTTTTAAAACTATTTTGCGATATTGCTGTTGCACTGGATCTTATGGTTTAAGTGCGAGGAACATGATATTTTAAAAAAAAAAGGTAACACACAAAATGTTAAAAAACGCCCCTTTGGACGTAATTTAAAATCTGAAACATTTCAGATTTTTTTTTTTTTTTTTTTTTTTTTTTTTTTTTTTTTAAACCAAGCCCATACCAACAAAATGTTTTCCCCCATAAAACAGATTTTCACTGATTCGTGGCTTTGGCTTTTTGCCTACGGTGTATTTATTTATCTTCACGAATATGTCAAACTTTGTTCCCTTACAATTAGTTTTATATAATTTGCACAGATGCTTCTTATTGTTTGTTTAATGGATTACGGCAAAGAACATGAGGGTAATCTTTTTATGAGAAGGGATGACATTCATATAAAGGATTTTCTAAGGGAAACCAGCATGACTGGACACATCATCCTTCATGAATTAAAAAAAAATAGACAAAAACATAAGAACCGACAATGCAGAAAGCAGTGCAAAGCATTTTATTACACAACACGTAAAAGTATAACGAGTGATAGATATAGAACACAATTTTACAAAAGGTATTAATTCCAACAGCAACCGAGCGGCCAAGCCATTGAACACTGGTAGTTGGGCATGGGTTCGAATGCCGAACCAGCTGGCTACTTAAGCGTTTCGTGCTTTTCGTCATATGTAATGTGAATGCGAGCCAACTCCCCTTAGAATGTCCTCCCCGAAGGTATCCCTCCCTTTAGGCAGATAGCCTTATCGTGCATTGCCATTATCAAATAAACCAAACAAAATGCATTCAAAATTCCGCTCATTCTCAGTGATTCATAAGTGACGCTGATTCTGCATACATTTTTTGCAGCGATTATTGTCACGAGGTTCATAGCATAAGCAGCAAGCGTTTCGTACAAAATGGCTCGGAAGTTTCTCCATAGAAAAGCATCAAGTGCCGACCTGGAGTAAATACAGCGTAACCACAGTGTCTGTCTCCGCTTCTACTTTCCTATGCAAATATGACTCATATCGATCTATAAAATTTCTACAAATCATTGTGCGAGTATGCATTTAGAACTTTTAATACTTTAAAAACATTTTTTAAAAAAATCTAAAAGGTTTCAGATTTTAAATTACGTCCAAAGGGGCGTTTTTTTAACATTTTGTGTGTTACATTTATTCATTAAATATCACGTACTTCGCACTTAAACCATAAAATTCAGTTCAACAGCAATATCGCAATATAGTTTTAAAATGAGCAATCTTTAGAATTTCCGATACAGAGACTCGCGCGCTGGAGATAAAAATATTTTTTTTTCTGTAAAACGTTGCCATTCTCGCTTTGAAATCCTTGGGTTTGTTAATCGAAAATTCGTTAAAGTTTTACAAAATAGGAAACCGATAATAAAACAAATTCCAAATTTCAAATTTGGTCTTCCACATGCCCATATTCGTAGGAGTATTACGTCATTCAAAATTCGTTGGCTGTATGTACCGTTGTTTTATCGCAATGTGAGAAATATACATACAGATTTTTCATTATTTAATTTCTTCAAATATAATGCATGACTCTAACATTTGGTGGCAACAGTTTGAAAAGTGATTCGTCGTTTATAGTGATTCAACGCATAATCGCAAAACGAAAACAATAGTCTTTCAGGGACAAAGCCCCTTTGGACTAAAAATCTGTTACCATCAGGTAGATTCCTAATTTTTTACACGGTATTTTCAACGACGATGCTTTAAAACTGCAATGTTTTTTAACCGCATTATTTTCAACCACGATATTTTATACCACGATGTTTCAGAACTACGATGTTTCTCCTTGCTTTCTTTTCTTTCACTATGTTTTATACGAAGATGCTTTCGCTTTACGTTGATTTCTCCGCGATGTTTTCGTCAGCGACGATCTTGTCACGATGTTTTCGCCTATAACTGTGGCCGTTTGGTTTATGGTGCAATATCTTAATATTTTCTCGCAGAGGTAATGAGATTACTGTATGCTATAGAGAAAAGAACCTTTATTTCTACTTTTTATATTACAGTTATTGGTAATGGATAACTAAGGTTCTAACAGAATTGCACTAGTCGCCGCTTTGTAGGGCATACTTGTCGTTTAGGTGCATTGATCTGAAACCAGACATAAAATGCATGGAACTAATTTCCCAGACTAACGGACTTTGGTTACCACGACTACTCCTATTCTCATTTGCTTCTAAGACGTTAGTGTATTATATACATTAAAAGCGTTTTAATATTAAAAGCGTTTAAGTGTGTTATATACATTCTAAATAACGGTATTCTTACTTTTCAAAACACGTCAAGTTATAAATCAAAACCGTGGACATTTTTTAATATCATAATACAAGGAGATACAGCTCAACGATAAAACATAATATCTAGGCCTGGAGAGAGTAAAGAAAAAATATTAAATCTGTAAGCCTCGTATAACACTTCGCGGAACACGAGGAGTTTTGTACTTATTTTCTTAATTAAGAAAATGCATTTTTTAATGTTGTTTCTGAATTTATTCCTTTTATATCTGTTTACATTTATATGCTTAACATTTGTGTCTTTTTTTTAAAACATTTCTATTCTTTCATCAACACTGCCTTTTGGATGATACTGAAACACAATTTCAGGCGTTTTGGGGAAGCAATAAATTTTCAGCCAAATAAATTATGATCAAGGTGTACATTATGACTTTTTTATGTGATTATGAATTAAATTTGCATCACTTTTTCTCTAATTTAACCATTTTGTAAAAAATGATTATGAGTTTTGTACGGTTTTACTTGATCTGGTAATGTTAATTAGTCCAAAAATCCTAACAGCCGTAAAGAGAATTATCGCTATGTCTGAAGTTACTACAAAGTCGTTAGAAGATTTAAATAACCTTTTTATTTAAGTATAGTTTAGAACATAAAAGCACTTTCTTGTGCAACAATATCAGCCACAGCTCATGGTACTGCACCTAAATAGAATGACCAAATTTAAATCAAATATGGAACAGTAGTCAAGGAATACATAACTAAATATTACTATATGCCGGCTCAGTCACTCAACCAGAGCGCCAAAAATAAAAGTGTCAGCAGAGATAGAGCGCAACTCGAATAAATACAACTCTCAGAGCTGGTAGGAAATTAACACGTATCGTGCACGCGAAGCCCAGAAATACGCTCTGTCTTAAAATCCTAAAACCTCAGTTTAAATAATGGCTACCTCAGTGCATTGTGGCGAGGAATACGGAAAGGAGAAGTTATAGTAAAGACTGAAATAATAATAACTGGTTAATTTAAATAATAACCTTTCAGATTTTTGAAATTCTCAATAATTTTACGTTACGATTAACTGCGATTTAAAGTTTTTTAACGTCTTAACAAATTTAACCAATTTTCTTGTAAATAAATTTTGTTGTTCTTTTCGAAAGGCTCTTTATTTCACCATTAGACATATTGAACCATCAGATGCAAAAACATTCCTCGGTTGCTCGTATGTAATCCTAATAATATGCATATTTTCAGCCTATCCTGAATTTGTGGTCTGAAATTTAAGGATGAGGATCATTTTATATTTGATAGGACACAAATGATCAATTTGCCTCGAATAAATATTCTTTAGGAACCAATGCTTTTAAATGTTTAAAAGTTTTAACTTTAAGATTTGATACCTTATGAAAGAAAGATCAATCAGCATTGATCCATTTGATACCATTTTAACAATTCTTCAAAAACGCAGATTTAGAAAGGTTTCGCATAAGTAAGGTTCGTTTATAATAGTAGATAGTTTTAACTCTCTCAGTTTATTACTCTCTCTTTTCAGGGGATAGTATGGAGTTGAGTGATGGTCGAACTTTTTCCACGAAAGACAGGAAGACTGATGAAGATGTTTCAGAGCATTGCGCAATGACAAGAAAAAGTGGCTGGTGGTTTAAAGATTGCACTAAGGCCAATTTGAATGGCATATATATGCCAGGAGTTAAGTCTGCAAAGAGCATGTACTGGAGTACATGGCAAGCTCATGTAGGATTAAAATATACTGCCATAAAACTAAGACCCAAAAACATAAAAAAATTCATGTAATATTTATGTGCTGATAAAAACCTCAGATTGATATTTATTTTATTAAAAACCTCTACGGATTTCAAAGAGATTGACATAGATCCTTTGCCTTCATAGAAAAAAAGATACTATTTCTCTTATTTCGTTAAAAATCGACTAAATATTCGTTTAAACGAGATTTGTGAATGAGAAATTCCGCTTAACTGAAATGGTTAAGCAAAATAACATTATATCAACAAACCAATTTTTTAAATGCATATTTTTAATTATTTTTTTATCATTCAAAAATAAATAAATATTTTACAATGTAAACAAGTGTTCATAATTTACACTGCTTTATAAATGCTAAGAAATAACTGATTTGTGTTCAGTTTCCAAGGGTTGCTCAATCAGAAAAACTGCCGCTGAAAAAATACTACAGTAGACGCTGTAAAACAAGTTCGGAACTGCATCATCAGGAAAAGTTATTTTGATGTATTGAGCATAGTGTTGGGATCAGAAACACTTTCAGGTTTCGAAATCTATTCTATTTTGCATTATAAAGAGTGCACAGAAACTATATGCAAAGTTTCATTTCTTCAATGAATTTTCATTATTAAAATTTATTATTTTCAAAAAATGTCAGTGTCCCTTAGCAACAGTTAAGCACTACATATATTACAGCGAACCAGTCAAAGATGCTCAAGACCAGAAGCCAGTAGATTAAGTTACTAATCGTCTAGACCAGCGGCTCTCAACCTTTTGACTAACACGTACCATCTAAACAAAAACTGAAAAACTTTACTACCATCACTACATTTTACAATTATTATTTTCCACTTCTCAATAGAAATATTAAATATATATGTAGAATTTGAATTAATTCACAGCATGAGAGCACGAAGTAATATTTAAATGGTTTATTTAATAGGAAGAAATAAAAGTAATTAAGAAAAGTATATAAAGATGAAGTTAACGGTATGCAGGATTAACATAATGATGTAGTCCTTTTACACCTAAAGGCATAACATCAAAAGCACAATCTAAGTTCATAAACTCTTGAAGACGTGTGAGCCGTCTGCTCACTTCTGCCCTCCGCTCTCGACCAGGTCTCAACGCTGTCTGGGATGATTCTTACTGCGCTGGGTGATGCTATACTGATGACGTCATAACGGGCAATTCTAATTCTGCATTGGACGTTATGATTTCCCACAGCTTCGGCCAGCCTGAAGAGGCATCGTCCTCGATGCATGTTGAATGGACATCACCATCATGTACCTGCAAAGAGAATAAAAAATAAAAAAAGAAAGAAAAAAGAGTATCAGGTCCTTAGGCTTTGCTCTGATACAAGCATTAAATCAATTTGACCATGGCTTCATATGGTCAGCCGCAGTAGATGTCAAATTCGGTCCTTCATGGCATCCTACTTTTTCGACTTCATATCTGTCATTTGGTCTTACAGCTATGATTTTATACGGTCCATGAAATTTTGGTCGTAGTTTCAAACCAGTCCCATATTGAGTTCTCTGAATGGCTACCAAGTCGCCAATCTTGTATAGTTTCGGTTTCTTACGTTTCTTGTTGAATTGTTTACGATTCTCTTCTTGAATCCTCAAAATGTTGTTTTTCGCATCTCTCATTTTATCACGTTCTTTTATCAATTGCTTTAGATATTCTTCATTCAATATTTCACTAATTCTCAAATCTTCTTTATTATTCATTTTCGTGCCTATGAGAAGCTCAAACGGTGAATATTTCGTACTTCTCGTAGTTGTACTGTTGATTATTCTCTGAACATCTGGAACATACTTAAACCATTTCGTTGAATCTTCATGTGATAATTTTGACAAAACAGGAATCAAAATTCTATGAATTCGCTCAATTTGTCCGTTACCTCTTGGAATACCGGTAGTAATTTTGACATGTTCTATACCTTCTTCAGTACAATAAGCTGAAAATTCTTTCGATGTAAAGGCACTACCTCGATCTGAAATGATTCTGGCTGGATTCCCAAATACAGTCTATTGTTGCTTCAATTTTGAAATAACTTCTTGCGTAGTTGGTGATTTCACTGGATAGAACCAAGTAAATTTCGTAAAAGCGTCGACCACAGTAAGAATGTGTTGGTATCTCTTGTTCGTCGATGGAAGAGGTCCAATAAAGTCGATATGATACGTACTCAAGGGAACGTTTTCTTTCGGTACAGGATGGAGAAATCCTTCTGCTTTTCCTTGCTTCTTGTTGTACAGTATACATTCTATACAGTTAGCAATTACCTTTTCAACTTTGCATTTCAATCTGGGAATATAGAATTCTTGCTCTACAGCATTCACAGTTTTATCTACAGCAAAGTGACCTTTTTTATGTACCTTCTGTATGATTTCATTCTGTAAGGATTCTGGCACTACTAGAAGATCTTTACCATTTTAAAATTTGTACAAAAACACAAATATCATTTCTCACGAAGAATCCATTTTCTTCTCCCTTCTCAACTAAATTCTTTATCAATTTCACATGTTCATCTTCATTCTGTTGTTGTGCTAACCGAATCTTCTCAGTTACATCGGATGTGTATGATGTTAAAATTAAAGCATTTCTACTTAAAGCATCAGCATGTTTCATTTGGCTTCCTGAACGATGTACAATTTCGTAATCGAATTCTTCAATGAACATTGCCCATCTTGCAATTTTAGGAGTTAAATCTTTCTTATCTAAAGTTTTCTGAAAAGCACTACAATCAGTTACAATTTTGAATTTAGTCCCTAACAAATAGTTTCGAAATTTCTTTAGAGCTTCTATTACTGCAAGGGCTTCTAATTCGTAACTACAGAGTTTCTCTTGCTGCGGTGAAGTCTTCTTACTCATATACTGGATTGGGTGATAATTACCATCATCAGACAATTGGAGTAATACCGCACCAAAACCTTGACTACTAGCATCAGTATGAAGTTCTAATGGATATCCTTGCCTAAATATGCGTAGAACAGGTGCCTGAGAGAGAATTTCTTTTAGTCTGCAAAATGCTTCCTGTTGTTCGGAATCGAACTTAAAACCAATACCTTTTCTAAGCAAGTCACTAAGAGGTTTAGCTATTTTAGCATACTGAGGAATGAATTTACGAAAATATCCCGTTAGTCCTAAAAAGCTTTGTAGTTGTTTACAGTTACGCGGTTGTGGAAAGTTTGGAACAGCAACAGTTTTGGAAGGCGATGGTCGAATAGTTCCGTTTTCAATTACATGTCCCAAAAATTCAATTTTACGTTTTAAGAATTGACACTTTTTGAAATTTATTTTTAATCCGTATTACGAAGCAGTTTTGAATACTCTTTCTAATTTGTCTAAACATTCAACTTCATCATTAGCCGGTAGGACTATATCATCCATATAAATAATTAATACACCTTCATTTAGCAAGTCACGAAATACTGAATAAATATACCTTTGAAAAACATTTGGACTAATACATAAACCAAAAGGAGCTTTAAGAAATTCGTAGATACCATTATGTGTTACAAAAGCGGTATATTTGGTGCAATTTTCATCTATGTCTACATGGAAAAAGCCATTTTTCAAATCTAGCGTCGTGAAAACTTTTGACTGTTCTAAGCGATCAAGTACTTCCGGAATTAAAGGCAGTGGAAATTTGTCTTTAATAATCTTCTTATTTAATTTCAGATAATCTATACATAAACGTTTCGAATTATCACGCTTGTTACACAAAACAATAGGCGCCGAATAATTAGAATTGCTAGGCTTTATTATGCCCTCTTTTAACCATTCCTTAATTTGATCGTCAACAATTTTTTGTTCCGCAAAAGACATGTATCTTCTATTTTGACAGACAGGAGTATCATCGCATAAATTTATTTGCATCTTGAAGTCAGATTGTCTATTTTTCCGAGGCTGGTACGAATTAATTAAATTACACAGTCTTTCTTTATGTTCTACATTCGAAATATGCGATAAATCAATCTCGTTGACAGAAATAGCATTCACCAGATGTGAAAGGTAATTAAACGTCGCGCTACTTCCGCTTTCGGGACTTTTGTTTACATTAACAGAGACGCCAGACGATTGCGAAGGATCATAAACATTCTTCAATGAGATAGCAATATTCAAATTTCCCATAACGCAACGAACGTTAGAATTTCGATATGACTCAGCAGTTATCAAGTTTACATTACTTTTATTCCGATGAGAAATTATTTGAAGGCCATTCTCGGTAAAGAGAAGTTAAACTGATTCAATACATCCAAACCTAATACAATTTGATTACATAATGACTTAACAACATAAATTTTCGTACGAAGTGAAAAACTATCAATTGAAATATCAGAAATAAAAAAGCCGATGGGATACGTTTGCTTTGATTCAATTTCCGTTTAATGTGATATCGCTACAATTTAAACTTAGGAGAACCAATCTGCTTGTGTAACTCTAACGCTGCATATCGTAACATCTGAACCAGTGTCAACTAAACTATCAACTAAATGATTATTTATTTCTACAGTCTTCATAATTCTATCCTTGTCAGAAATTCGTTGTGAACTAAAGCTGCTTGTTTCTCGGGGTTCTGGCTCTGACAGTTCGTTGATTTAATGCCCAAACTTCTTACATTTTAAAACATTTTACACCCTTTGATTTGTTTACACAATGCTTTGAATAATGCCCAAATTCCTGGCAATTAAAACATTTGACCTTATTAACGTTAGATTGATTTCGGTTTGATGACGAAAGCTTACTTCTATCTTTAACTTGAGTGTCTACTTTCGGTTTCGGATTTTTAAACTTATCATTGTCCGATCTCATTTTATCATAAATTTTAAGCCTTTGTTTAAATTCAGATATTGTTTCGCAACCATATAGTATAGTTTTCCTAACCACCGAATCGGGAATACCATCAATAACATATTTAATTAATGAAGCATCTTCAATGTTACCTCGCGAACACATTTCTTTCATTTTCAAAAAATACTCATTTAAAGATTCATTAGGCATTAATTTACGTTTACATAACATTTCATGCAACTCAGCAGAATTAAAAGCTTTACCATATTCAGATTTCAAAAGCTTTTTTAACTTACACCAGTCATTAACTTTAGGTTCACTCTGAATAAACAGTTTCGCTTTACCTTTTAATGATCTTTTAGCAAAACCTAATTTATGCAAATCACTCAATTTCAAAGAATTTATAACATCTTCAAATTCATCAATCCATTTATCAACATTTTCATATGCATTACCAGAAAAAGGATTAACAATACTTTCAATATCAGAAAAACTAAGATGAGGTTTAAAATGATCTTGAAATGGAAGCTGCATACTGTTATTTA